GCGCGCATCCCGCCGCTCCGGGGCCGCCGCCATCGAGCGGGCGATGCGCGAAGGGGCCGGTGCCGCCTGGGCCCCGGGGGATCCCACTCCTCCCATCCCAGGGATCCCACTCCTCCCATCCCCTGGGATCCCCGTCCTTCTGCCCTGACGCCTTTAAAGCGGCGCCGACAATGGGGACGAGGGCGGAATTTTCCGTGTCTGTTCCAGCTCGCCTCGTCCCTTGTTTACCCCAGCCGGGATGCGGATTCTTTGTGCTGGAGAGCGGTTTTGCCACATGCCGCGGAGCTGCAATCCTGGCTGGGAGGGAAGAGGTTTGGGTGGGAATCAAGTTTTTCAAACCCCCAGCTTGGAACTAAGACCCTCCCTTCAATAGTAACAAAAAGCAATAAACTGGGGCAATATTTCATCGTGTCTCTGGCCATGCTCTATCACTTCCATCAGACCCTGCGTTAGCTCACAGACCTAGGAAAGCTCTGCAAACGCAGGCAGCGATGGGATCGTTTTTTCCTCTTTTTTTAAAAAACAAAATTGTTTAGACCCTGGCAGAAGCACAAGGTCATCTCGGGCTGGAGCGGAGGATGACAAACGGGCGCCGCGCGCCAGGACGCCCGCGGCGGCGCGTCCTCTTCGCAGGCGTCGCTTCCACCGCGCGGGAGGGCCGGCAGCTCCCGACGAGCGGAGCCGCCGCTCCGGGCGCCGCGAGGCCCCGCGCGGCCCTTGGTCCCCGTCCGCGCTCGGCATCGCCGAGGGCTGCGATTGAGGAGACCTGGAGAGGAGCAACCGCGTCCATGAGCAAAAGGCGTTTGTGTCCGATGGTTCCCATGGGCCCCAGCCTGGATTAAACTCAGAAACGTGTCCTGGGACTCCTGTGGCATTGGAAGGTGGCACAAAACGGGGAAAAGCTCCTCCTTTGTCCTGGGAAGCCTGCAGTCTTGCAGGCAAGAGCTGCCCCTCCATTTCACAAGAATTTCTCCATTACGCTGCAATGGAGCCAGATGGGGAAGAACTGAAAATTTCCTGCCCAGCAGAGTTTTGGGAGGGAGAATAAAACCAAACATTTGTTTTGGATTGATTCAAATCTTCCTTCCCATTATATTTCCAAAAATTGATGATATCTATAAATGCTGAAATGGATAATGAATGTTCTGAAGAAATCCCTAATCTGCTTATCAGAACAGCCTGCTTCATTTTTTAAAAAAATGAGGTTGTGCTGACGGTGGTGAACCTGAGTGAAACGCTTTACCCCTGGGAACAGAAAATCCCTTCCAAATTCCTGATCATTTTCCCTTGGGCTCTCCGTGAGGAGAAGCCTCCGCGGGCGGGCGCAGGGCGGGCTGGTCCCGCGCGGTGCTGCGGGGCCCGGGCGGCCTTTACGCGCCGGTTCCTTCCAGCACCACCGGGAGATGCCGGGGGCTGCGGACCCTGCAGAGCGCCGCAGGACTCGCGGTTTTGGGCACCTGCCTTCCTCCTCCTCCTCCTCCTCCTCCTCCTCCTCCTCGCCTTCCCGCAAGGAGCAGCCTGCAGCGGGAGGCAACCTCTCGCGTGCCCCGTTGCAGGCGCCGACGCGCTCCCGGCTCCCGGCTCTCCCTGTCCCGTGAGCAGATCCGCAGCCGAGCGGGGCTCCTCGCCGCCCGCCCCAGCGCGTGGGGAACAGGAGAGAGCCGTCACATGCTGCTCCCAGTTGTTTTTCTTGTTCTAAGAGTCTGCTGACTTCTACTCTTGTAAACAAGGAGAAACCTAAATTGCTTCTAAGATAAACATGCAAATCAGAGGCAGACGCATCTATTTGCTTGGCAGCGTGCGCCTGGTTTTAACCCTGTTCCGATGCTCGCGGCCGCGCTTGGCTCCCGCTCCTCCCCGAGAGCGGGTCCCCGGGCGCTCTGCGGGACGCCGTGGCCTGTGTCGTGTCTCTGCCCTCCTCTAAGTCTAACCTGGCTCTAAACCTTGGGGACTTGAGGTTTTGACGTCTCCTTTTGCTCTTTCCAGCAGCACCAAGAGGAGGGCGAAGCTGGGGAGCAGAGCAGGACGAGGCTGTGAGTGATGGAAAGGGGAACTTGGTTTGGGTTTTCTTAAAAATAAGCAGCCCCCTGCAATGTAGACCTGGGGCACCTGTGGAGTTTTGCTATTTGGAGCTGTTGGTAGAAAATTTGTTTTACTCCTGTAATGTTATCAGTTGAACCCCTTCCTGTGTGAGGACAGCCCTCCTGTCCCCAAACAGGCAGTGGCAGTAAAATGACCCCTCTCTACATGTATCTGAGAGAGAAGGGATTCTGGAAAGAATGAAAATATTTCATGGGAAAAAAATTTCAGGGGCACCGGAACTTGCCAAGGTTGTAACTTCTTCACCACAACACCAAGGTGTTGTTCAGAAGTACATTGACATTATAAACCAATTCTTGATTATATCCCTATGTTAGATAAACTGTGGTATCTCATATTTCATTTTACATCATTTTTTATGGCATTGAAACAAAATACTTGAGCATTACTTGAATTCAAAAGGGTCTCTCTCTCTGAGACAAACCTTGCTTCAGAGCTAAAAGAACTGTTGAAAAGTTGGATGCTCCTGCAGAACAGAAACCAGGCTTGCACCGGTGCAGCAAAGGCACAGTTTTAAATTGGATTGCACAGTCAGGCTTCATTTAAAGTCAATATCCTAGGGTGAATTTGTGCAGGGAGCAGGGACCCGCTCGGACCAG